TAACAAATGAAATAACAAAAATACTAAATAAAACTATTTTTCTTTGGATTAAATAAATAATGCCTATTTTTTTTATGAGAATAATTAAACTAGATTTCTATCTTTAACTATCTTTAACTAAAATTGAACCAGATTTATCATTCAACAAAAATAAACATATCTCCTTATTTAACTAAAAAAAAAGTAGTTTTCCTTTAAAAAATATTAAATGAGATCAAATCTCTAATCTAAACATTTTTTCTATAGCAGATGTTAAACTATTTCTTTATCAACTCTTTAGAGTAGATAAAGTAGCATTTTAACCGCAAGGGTAGATAAAGTAACACTTTAACAGCAAGGGTAGATAAAATATTTTAACTTATTTTATTCATTTAAATTTACAAATTTTATCATCCACGAGGTGGAATAAATCGTCCGATTTACACTCAAACGAGTTGAATACAACATTTTATTCTTCGAATTATACTCAACAAGACTTAAACTTGCTTTAAATCTGTTAAAAATAATCTAACGTCAATTTTTTTTTTTCGTCAAATACGAAATTCTATTTTTTCTCTTTAAGTCTTGCTATAGTTGTATTATACACGACTTCGTCACTCGTGAACTTAACCTTTTCACTCGTAGATAAAATCTCTTTATCGTCTTGTATAATAAATAACTATTAATGAAACATCCTGAATATTATGAATTGATTGTGTAGCTTTATTAAAATGCTTTCATTTTTCATAAAAAAAAATAATTAATTTTTTTATAATTAGCTCGATATTATATCTAAATTTCATTTTAAATTAAATTTGTCAGAATAAAACTTTACTCATGTTTCAATACGGGATTTATGTTAGATGTAAATTATTTACTAACATTTSTCATTTAAAACACACCCTCTACTCTAAAAGTGTAAAACTTTTCTAGAGTAGAAATACATCTAAAAAATCATTTTTCATCAAATACGCTGGTATAAAAAGTAACACAATGTTTAGTTTTATTAAATTTTTTTCATTATTTTTTTTAATGTCATTAAAACTTCTRCAGCACACACCATCTGAAAGTTATAATGAGACTGAAAAATTCACTACAAAAAAACTGAAGTTATTAATAATTTCTAAATTTCACACTATTAAAATTAAAGTTTTTAGTAAGAAATTTTTGAAAATTCAATCCTGTCGTCCGGAGTCCCGCCCCCGCATTTCAATCTGTCAAGGCCTACTTTACAACTCGTCCTTCCCGTATCTGTAAGTTGCCGCTAGGGAAATGTAATGGGGTTTTCCTGTAACGTCGGCATATTCATCGTTTTTCGGCCCCCAAAACACTCCATACTGTGCAAACACGTCCCGCTTGTTTTTCTTTATGTAATTTCCACATTTCCCGTTGTCTTGCAAACCAAATATATACACAAGAAAATACTTTATTGTGCTRTCCGGGGGGTTCTCTCTCACTCAATTAAGTCGTCGGAAAAAATATATATACCTAGCGACGAAAAACTTCAAGGGAAATCGGGACACAGGACCGGACTAAGACGACGACGGTGATTGATGATGCGGTTTTATTGTGATGCATGAAGGGAGGTAATTTGACGGTTAATTTTGGGAGTGATGAGGTTAAGTAAATGGGGAAAAATTGGCCAAAGGGAGTGATGAGTGACAGAAAGGTTTTGTGGAGGATTGTTGGTTTGTGATTACGAAGTGGGACGATTTATGACTTGACCGATAAGGAAACTGGTGCTGATTGTGGTTTTCCCTTTTCAATTATTTCTAAATAGATTTAATTTTAAAACACAAATTGTCAAGGCATTTACGATTGACAGCCAATCAGCTATACATCAACAAAATATAATTAGTTTAATTTAATAAATTTATGGATTACATTTAGTTGTCAAAACTATTTATTCAGTTTTATTTCATTTTACAAATTTCTCCCTGACAAAATAATCTTTCTCATATTTAAAACCAAGCAGTGTTTACATTCACTCCAAAACCATTTCCACGAAAACTGCCAGATGTTCAAGAAGTTTATTCTTGCTAAAATCATATAGGATCTCTCGGATTATCCTTCTTATTGAAAAAAATAAATATCAAAAAAGTCTAATATTTTCATACAAATTTTTCAGTTCAATTTCATACTTAAAAAAAAATAAAGAAAAAATTTAAACCAAACTGTGTTTTTTCAATAAGAAACAGAGTTAACTAATTAGTTAACCTGTTAACCAAGCCTAATACTTTTGACAATTTATTGAGATTTTGGACATAACTGGAAAAAAAAAACAATAAAAATGTTAAAATTTTCGAAAAAGTTGTGGATTTTTGCATTAAAAAAAAAGCTTTATAACAAACGACAGTAGAGCAAACAAAGCCAACTGTGATAAGAAAAAGTAAAACATAATAGGAGGAATTAATGATAATAAAAAAGTAATATTTTCACATCATTTAAAAATTAAAAAAATCATTTCCAGTTCATTAAACAAGTTCCTGATTACTCATTACATGAAATGCAAAAAACACAAGGTTAATTTTTTTATGCACACATTGTAGAAAAATTAGAATTAAGTTGTATATTTCCAACATTTTTAAACGTCTTTAAAAGACTAATTAGATTGGTATAAATTTCTTCACCAAAACCTTTTTTATTTATCAAAAACTTTTTTCATTAGAAATTTTACTTTTTTACTTTTTACTTTTCAAAATGATAAAAACAGAATATTTAATAGTTACTTTAACAATTTTTAAAATTTTCTAAATCCTAACTTTCAAAATTTCTCAAACAAAAATATGTAATGCCATGGATAGTATTTTGTGACTTTGAAATTAAGTTGGCAATATGGAAAAACATGAAAATAAAAAGTTGACATGTCTTATGTCATATACAGGGTGTATCACAACTCGCGCCTTAGTGAAAAATTCAAGTACGGTAAGATACCAGAAACATGAAAAAAATTATTAAAAAATTATATCTGTCAAAATGTTTTGACATATGTATATTTTTGGCATTTGACATTTTTTTTATGTCTATTTAATGATAATGATGATCTTGTATATGTTTTTTTTTTTTATAATTATTTAGTAAAGGTACCAATAAAAGCCACAAATAACGTTAAACAGAGTTATAATTTAGAATGCAGCTTCCTTGTCTCCTCTTCTAATAGCCTGTATCAAAAAAACTTGGAATTTTTTTCCAACAGAGTCAAAGTGCAAAATTTAAAGTCTCTTTACATCGAAATTTTTATAGATAGAATTTTTTGAACATTTTTTCATGTTCCTGGTATCTTACCTTACATAGCATTTTGTCTAAATCGCGAGTTCTGGGGCAGCCTGTATATCAATAAAATTTAATTGAAGCATTGATTAAAATATGGAAGTGATTAACCACTTTACTTTTTCCATTTTTCGTCGAAATTATTACTAGTGGTGTCGTCCTTGCCAACATTTATTTAATAGCCAATTAACACAAATTAAACGGCGATGAATAAAACATGGTGCACTGAAAAGCCAGTTTTACACTACCTACTGTTACTTTCGTCCCAATAATGATATTCCATCAATATCAGACATCACTAATTTAGCACATGRAAATTGGTTTAAATTTCATCTTTAATTAACACATGTTTAAAAATTCTAACTTTAATTAAAACGCATCAAATATATTAATTAGCCTAAATTTCTAATAACTTCACCATTAGTGTAGAGATTTTTCCAAAATTAATTGAAATTATGATAATTTATCGATCATTTACCAAGAAAYTGCAGCTCATAACTAGACAATAGCCAAAGCCCAACAATAGAGAAATTCCATAATTAAATGTCCTTTGGCCAAGAATTAAATTAAGACCCTTTACAGAAGTAATTAACTTGTCACTAYCGTGAAAATCCCATCATGTTACAGTTATTGACTTTTAGTTTATCAGAATTATCATAAGTGTTTTCTCTTGCAAATTATTATCAAAACAACAACGAACAATCCAAATATCGTTATTCGCACCGAGAAAACTAAATTGTCGGATAATTCGCTCACTCAGTATACTTTTCAACGCATCTGTGGTAATTATTAGAATGCGAAACCAGTTATCATCAAATTATGGCCAACTTTCGAATAGTTTCTACTCGGTTAGAGGGTTTTTGGCCTGAAAAATCGGCGTTGGCCATGACTTTTGATSTGTCAAATGGTCAAAACCAACTTGATTTTTACTACAACCACATCACAACTTTGAAATGTCAAATTGTATCAGAGKTGGCCATGACTTTTATTTTATTAACATATCTATCAAATGGTTTGAATTTTTTGCAGAGATTTTTCATAAAAACCACCGTTATAATTTAGTTTCAAAATTTCATAATAAATATCAAATCGTCAGAGCCAACTTGAATTTTTTCCAAACAAACTATATGACGACTTTGGAATATCAAATTGTATCAACGTTGGTTGTGACTACAAATTTATTGACACATCTATCAAATCATCACAGTTAACTTGCATTTTTTGCAAATAATTTCGTAAAAAACAACTTTTTTAACTATGTTTCAAAATTTTAGTCACAGCCAACTTGAATTTTTTCCAGATAAATTTCTTTGTAACTACATATATCATGACTTCGCAATGTCAAATAGTATCAACGTTGGCCATGATTTGATTGACATCTGACACATCTGTCAAATCGCCACAGTCAACTTGATTTTTTTTGCAACTTACTACTTTTTTTTTCATACAAATCAGATGATGAATTTTAAATAAATTATTTGCAGAAGTTATAAAATTTATAAATTTCGTGTTAAAAAATTSATCCGGGAGCACGAGAATGTCATTTTTATGTTTTTAATTATCTTATCTAGCCGTCCCATGTCGATAAACCCACGAAATTTCGAACAAACAAAAGCGTATCGGTGGCATTTCACRGCCATCTGGTACGAAACCGGTCATGAAAATTGGACCGWTGGAAAGTTAGAAAAGTTCCGGTCAAACTCCGGTTGCATCCACCGCCAATTTGATTTTCGTTATCCCTCGTGGCTCACCTGGAGTCAAACTTGGTGCCATCGGTGAGCGTCCCCGTGTAGTGCATAGTCAACATGTCCCCATTTTTCGACTTAACCTCACACCCTTCCGGCACGCTGATCACATCAATTTTGAGTTGATCGTTTTTGTTTTTATTATCATCGGAGGCGGCTAAGCCGATCGCSGCCAACGCGATTAACGTAAACTTGAACATGACGCCGCGACAAACAACACAACAGTACTGCTGAATGGATCAAGAAGGCCGCCACGAGACTGCCACGATGTTCCGGCGACGTCACCGTTCTGTTTCTGTTTTCGCTATATGGTGTGAGAAAGATGCAAGATTCGAAAGCCACAGGTCTGGTGCTGATTGGACGAGGCGTACACGTGATTGCGTGTGTGGCCTAGTTCTACCGCGACGTTCAAGAAGCGCCAGCAGGGCGAAAGTTGAGGAATGACATGGAGAGGCTAATGGACTTTCCCTAATTTTGGTTACACGATGTGAAAAAAAGTTACACATTTTATTTTTTCTTCTACACATATAATATATTTTTTGTTTTCAGATCTAGTGGAATTATAATAACGGTTTTAATTAGTCATGAGTCTATTTTTTAATCTTCATTTTTTTCTTATCTTTGAAATGGAAAAAATTGAAATAACCCATTCAAAGATTACTTTTTTATGAAAAACATAAAGATAATTGTTGATTGATCA